CCTGGCGTCTCGGGCTGGTAGCCGGGAGCCCCGTGCTCACGTCCTGCTGCCTGGGGTGGGGTGCCAGCTGGTGCTTCAGCCACGGGAAGGGCAACCAGACCTTAGTCAGCGGCCCCTTAGCCGGCTTTCAAAAAACAGCCCATATCTTGAAATGCCTTCTTTCAAAATGGGATATGTGTACCCAGGGGGGGCCTCCTTAAAGAGTGTGGCAAAATAATAATTTTCAAAGCTCAAAAAAAAGAGGGTGACCCTGGCAAGAGCGTCGTGTCCCCGTCCTGTGGGCTGGCGAGAGCCAGTCTGCGGGCGGGAAGCTAACGTCTTGTGTGTCTATGTGTAGTAGAACGTGTTCTTTGTCGTCACCTGCCTTTATTTACCAAATATCTTGCTTCACAGGAAGATTCCTTTAACTTGTTGGCCTGTCAGCATCATTCTTCAGAGATTGTAACCTCAGGCGCATTGTTTTTGGTTCAGGATGGCCTGAGAATGTGTCCGTAGAACCTGGTGTGCAGTGAGGAGGTGACACCATGAAGCGGTGAACAGCTGTACTTACCACACAAAGGCCATTAGTCCCCTTGGTGGAAGCAATGATGCTTTTGGTGGTGACATTCCTTTAGCAACACCACTCCCCAACTTTGGGAGATCAGCGCGCCCTACCAGAGTCTAGAAGCGCCTCTGTCGCAACCGTCCAGTCTTAGCCCATGTGGGTAAATGCAACTCGAGTGGCCCCAGGCAGGCAGGCCCTGGTCTCACACCTGGTGCGGGAAGCCAGATACACTGCCACCTGTCATCAACACAGTGCTTAGGACAGTCACTCTGCCACCAGCAGCGAGGACTGTAATCTGAGAGTTTACAAAGGGATCAGTGGAGCTTAAAAACTTCTAATTAAACAACACTAGGACTGATGGCTGGGCTGTGGGTCTGTGGTCAAGCCCCATGCAGGTGGCTCCAGAGCTTGGCAGTGTGACCAAGAGAGCCTGCAGGGAGAGGGATGTGGCTGTGAATCGGGCTGAGAAAGTCTGCGTCTATAGCAAGAATTTGGCTTCTGCCAGCTGAGAAAAGTCAGACAGTATCATCTTATCCTGGAGTTGACATGAGGTGTGGGTGATGGTAATGAAAGGAGCAAAGGCGCTGAACCGGACCTGCTTTTGAATCGGCACTTATTGTTATTGGCCAGGTAACTAGGTGACATGGAACCACTTGAGCCTCTGATGATTCACCTGTGAAATCGGGTCTGCTTGGCTTTTGTCAAAGTTAGATTAACATGTGTGCCACAAAGGAAGCGTGAATGGTCACCACTGCTGTCCTCTGAGCATGCGTGCGGTCCTTACTGCCATGTTGACGTAAATGCAGGTTTCAGCTCCACTCTCTCCGGCGGCGAGGCTCTGCAACCTCGCGCTGTCACCGCTCTCCTAATACTCTGTCACCACCCTGGAAGACCTGTGAACCCCACCAGTCTGTGAGCCCCCTAAATGGAGTGTTGGGGGGCTTCTTGTGGATGTGCACTGCTGGAATAAACAGAGGCTCCCTTCCCATGGGGCAGGGACCCCTGGAATAAAGCCCTTTCTCATGACCAGGGCGCTGCAGAGATGGAGCAAGTAGCCTTAAGGTGTAAGCTTGGAGGAGCTGGCGTGTAAGCCCCTGCTTTAGGTTCGTGTTTTCATTGGACAGAGTTCTAACCTGATGTCCTCTCAGGTTCATTCAAAGGAGTATTTGTGTTCATCCAAGTTTGTGGGTCCTGTGCACATGGAGTCACGGATGCCCCGCCACGGGACAAGCCCCCCTCTGCTTGGGGAAGAGACCACAGGACCCTCCCGAGGCCTGAAAATTTTTAATGTAAAATAATGCTTAAAGAATGCTTTTAGGTGAAGACAGTATTTTTTGAAAACATCAAATCGGTCCGAAATGTTTTGGCAGCAGATACCTTAGAGCCTCCTGGATTTATATTTGCTCTTTCATAGAATAAAAGCCTCAGCGCCACTACCTCCGGAGTTCTCCGAGTTCACATTATGTAAATATATGTACTAAAATATTTACTTAGGGTTTCCATAAAAAAGGTCCAAAGGAGAGAATAAGAGAGCTTCTCTGTGCTGGTTTTAGAGGTTCTGCTGGGAATTCTGAGTGAAACCTAAGCCTCTCCAATATGTTTTGGTTGGCCTCCCTCGTGTTTTATCTCCCGTAATGAACTCTTTGTCAGTTTGTCAATTTTGATTAAGGACAGAAAGTTCATGTGTAGTAACAACCCAGACTGAAATTTAAATTATGGTTTCTATCATGATGTAATAATCCTCTCTCTTTTCCTTTAGTCAATATTTACCAGTTAGGCCAATATATTACAATTCTGACTTCAAAGAAGACACTTTATTTTGCCTTCTCCAAGTGTTGGTTTTAGATACTTGTAATATCAAAATTGGAAGTTGAGCCGTCTGAGACTCTTGACCACATTCTCTGGGGGTTGATTTCCTCGATCATCCAGGGCAGACTTCCCTGCTCCCAGTGACCCAGCAACGCAGCTGCGGGGCCCTCAGAACGAGGCAGCTGAACTCTGAGCCACACTGTTCGTCTCAGCCTTCCAGACGGCCCCCTCCTCTGTGGGAATTAGGGCTGTTACATTATCCCATAGCAGCTAGATCTCGCCGATGGAATTAGGTTTTCCCTAATGCATCAAGGTCATAGTACTGGGTGGAAAAACCAACGAATGCCTGTAGGAGGGCACTGTCTGGGTGTGAGACAGATGAAGGGGGGGATATTAAGTTCTTTTCCTTCTCTGGCCTTTACTTTAACTTACCCCACTTTTAAACATGTTTCCGTTCTAAAAACTAAGGGGAGAATCACCCTCCCCCAGTGAAGAATGGATGGGAGTATAACAAAGAGCTACAAAATTTGTAGATAATATGTGTGGGCCTTAGCACTGGTCATCGGGTCAGCAGAAGCTGTGTCCGTCAGCTCTTTGGCGTTGACTTGGGTGTCACTCAGGACTTGTCCAGTCAGTCACAACCAAAAGCAAATTGACTGACTCATGCACTGCCAAGTCCAAGGTAGGCAAGCTCAGCTGGACCCTGGAGTTCAAGTGAAGTCATCTTTATTTCTTAGAACTAGTATTTTCTTGCCTTTTTTTTAGGACTTACTTATGACTGCCTTTTATACAACTTATCTTACTTTTCTCTCCTTTTTTCTCAGGATTGCTTTGCTCTTTGAGCTCTGTATCATTCCATATAAATTTTACCATTTTTTTGTTCAGTTTATTTAAAGAATATTGTTGATATTTTGATGAAGATTGTATTAAATTAATATATTGCTTTTGGTGGGATAGTCATTTTGACTATACTGATTCTCTCCATCCATGAACATGGAATGTCTTTTCCCTTCCTTATGTCATGATGTCAATCCTTCAGTAACATAGGATAGTTTTTATTGTTTGAGTCTCTCACATCCTTGGTTACATTAATTCCTGGGTATTTGATTCTTTTTGAAGTGATTGTAAATGCAATTATTTTCTTAATTTCTTTTCTTCTCATTTATTATCTTCTATAATGGCATGACTGTGTGGCAGAGATGTCTTCTGGCAGCTCCAGACTTGCAAGAGTCTTCCTTACTGCCCGGCATCCCAGGAAACAGACCTTCTTTCCTGAAGTCCACTTCAATCTCTGTAGCAGAGTCAGACTCCCTGCCTTGGAGTCAGTACTCAGAACAAGTCTCGGGCGACAGCATTGCTGCGTCTCAGATTGACCCAGCTCTACTTTGCTGTGCTCCTGTCTGCCCGAGCTGCTCTCTTCCAAATCGACACTTTTCCCGTGTGTGTTCCTCCCATTTTGTGAATTTTCGTGTGTGTAAGATCACATATGCCGTATTTCATGGGTTCCACCAGCCTGAGTCCTCTGCTCTTCTCTGGCAGAACTGCTGGGGAAGGCAGGGCCTGCTCCTCTAGGAAGGGCAGGGGCAGTGCTGAGGGGGGAATAGGTCTTTTGGCAGAAGGAAAAAGGCAACAGGCAAACAAGTCAGTTGTTACTTCACTCACTCAGCAATGCTTAGTGAGTGCCTACCACGTGCCAGGCCTTCTTCTAGGCACTGGCTGACCTCGGTGAACTTCACACAAAGGCTGTGCCTTGCTGGCGCCTACACTGTAGGGAAAGGCAGGCAGTAAAAGTGAAGCCGCTAAAATACAATGCGCATCTGGCGGAGGTGCGTGCGCTGAAGACACCAGGGCGAGCATCTTCGGATGTGGCTGCTTTAACGGGACAGGTGGAGGGAACGGGGCAGAAGCTCTTGCTCTGGGTTTCTCTTTCTGTTGACCCACATAAAGGAAGAAGGAGTTTGATAGGCTGATCCTGTTAAGATTCTCCCAAGCGTGAGAAAAAGCACAAGCCAAGTAGGCATCTGCATGGGATGAGGCAAATGCATCCTGGGAGAGGAACACAGTTCCCCTGGCAGCCACACACAGAGCTGTCCTCTGGATGGAGGGGAGGGCACAGGCTGGCCTGGTGGGGGGTGAGGCCAGGCGAGGAGGTGATAACAGGCCAAAGAACGACCGCACCAGATCGTGGGTGGGGAGACCCCTGGCAGCAGTGGAGGCTGGTGGGAGGGGCCGAGTGGGGGTGGGGAGCCAGCTGTGGGGCTGAGTGGGGCTGTGGCCAGATGGGCAGGAGGCAGAATCTGCAGGACTGTGCATGAATTTGCTTCTAGTGACCTGAGAGGACTTGTCATTGTCCAAAATGAGTCTTCTTTTGCAGTTATAGTGATGTTCACCCAAAGACAAGAAGCAGCTTGTGAAATGGTTACAGTTGTCTAGAAATGGTAAACATCTTGCCAAAATGACTAAAGTTCTTTGTTTGGGATAAAAATCTTATCTGTTGGTGCACAAGGAAAGTGATGGTGCCAGTCCCGGGGCTGAAACTGTGGCCTGGACTCCTGGTCAACCAGGCGCCAGTTCTCTTAGGGAGCATCATGGGCAGGCTCGCCCAGGCCTTCCTGCTAGGCTGACTGTCCTTCTTGTGCATTCGCAGGCACCTTTGAAGTGGGGGTTCACATTGCCGATGTGAGCTACTTTGTTCCCGAGGGATCCGACTTGGATAAAGTGGCAGCTCAGAGGGCTACAAGTGTCTACTTGGTCCAGAAGGTAAAAATCAGTATCCCTTTCCTTGGGTTGAAAACCATGGTTCTACTTAGTCTTTCCTCCTTTTTTGGGTTTCTCTTTTCTTTAAAAAAAATTCACAAGATACTTGTCTTGTTACAGGGCAACCCCGATATAAAACAGGTTGCCTGACTGTGGGTCCTCACCCACGCGCTTAAAGGGGAATCACACTGGAGGCACACACGAAAGGTTTATCTATAAGGGAAGGGGAAATGAGGACATGTACATCTCAGGGAGAAAAAAAGGGAGGTAAGTTCTTAAATGTGTCCTACCCGTTCCACCAACCTGGACTCCCAAATGACCCGCCGAGACCAAACACTGCCTGGAGTCAAGAGAGACCCCCTCACATGGCTGGTTATAAACACAAACCCGAGAAAATGGCAGCGTAACTCCGCCCTTAGGTCCTTGCAGCCTCCCTTTGGGGATCATGAGATTTGTAGTTCCCAGTGTCGTGGTGGAGTAGGGGTGGCATCCACGAAGCCTGTGTGGAGTTTGCGCAGGACATCCTCTCACCCGAACAGTCTGAACATCTTTTCTCACTTCTAATGAGGTATTACAAAAAGAGAGAAAAGGTTTTCCCTGGAAAATGCCCGCCTCCCGTTATCACATGCTTCCCTGTTAGGCTTCTGTGTTCAAGAGAAACCAAGGCGAGACATGGCATTCACCTCAGGCCCGCGGACTGGCCCAGTGACGCAGTGACCAAGTGGCCAGTGTGCCAAAGAAATGAGAAAAGATGCAGCTTTCAAGCTCTGGCTCCCCAGCAGGGCTCAGCACACCCCACCCGCACCAGCCATGGTGTTTGTAAAGCTCTGTCGCAGCAGTCGTGCTGGTCACTCCGTAACTTCTGTGACACTGTCCCACTCTGAAAGGAGAATGGAATGAAAATTTACCATTGGCCTTTCACGACAAAGTTTGAACCCCTGTTCCAAGGGTGGAGGCTGATCTGGTCCTACCTGCCTTCTCAGGATAACCTGGAGACTCAAAAGATGCCAAAGCAGGGGAGGGGCCTGGGCTTCTCCTCCCGGTGAGTCGCACAGTCTCTGCGGACCACCTGGAACCAGTGCTCCGTGAGAGCCTGCGTCAGGCACTGCCTGAGGCCCTGGGGACTGTCGGGTATAAAAGACCACGCCTGAGCTCCTTCTGGCTCTTCTTAACTTTTTTCACTGTCTTGTGACTTCACTTCACTTCCTTGGGCTGGAGTGCAGTTTTGGGGTTACTGCTGACACTGGCCTGAACCTTCCTACTCCTGTGCCCCTCATGTGTCTTCAGGTGTTTGCTCTTTGACTACACTGAGGCAAGAGAGACACCCCTCCACCCACACAGTCCACTGTGACACTCTGGGATCTAGAAACCCTTCACCTGACAGACCAGGGGAAGCTGGCCCAGATGCCACACCTGCTCCATCCTAGGAGCTTGCAGATGTCTTCACCTAGGGGAGGGTGGCAGCTGCCCAGTCTCTCTTCACTGCCTTGTCTGACTGGCAACTCCCACTGCCGGGTGCCCGTATGCCCACGCAGCTGGCAGGAGGTAAACCCAGCTCTGAACTGTGCCTCGCAGCAGCATGCCCTGGCCAGCCACCATGCTGCTGCCCTCTTAACTCCTGGGGTGATTCACCCTACTGTCTACTCCAGGTAGACGTATAGGGTGGGTTGCCAAGCTCTCAGTGTGAGGAAAATGCCAGCATAAGGATCCTGGAGAGGCAGAAAGGCTTTCCTCTGCACCCTGACCTCTATGACCTACAGGTCTCAGCATAGGCCTTGAGACATGTCCACAGGATAGCAGTCCCCTGCCCTGACATACTGCTGACCTGTCTTCTCTATCACCCCTTCAAAACAAGGGCTTGAGAAACTCATGCTCCCATACTCTGAACCCATACTTCCCGCCATGCCCCAAAATATGGGCTGGCTCTTTTTGCGGACATGTTGTCTAAACCCTGTTAGGGCAGGCTGCCAGGGGCTATGTGCTGTTTCCCCTGAAGGTAGCCTAGCCCTAGGTCCCAGGGCCCCAGAGGCCTTAGCATGATGGACCTGGCCATGGGAGAGCCCAGGAGGAAAGCCCCCTGACGTGCCGAAGGAGGTGGTGGGTCTTTAAAGAGTCGGCATCCTCCTACTTCTGTTTTTTCCCCAGCTAAAGATCTGAAAACTGTCACTTCAAGTCAGTGTGCCTCCTGAATGTTCCGTGGCACCATACCCACCACTTCCCCATCACTGCCCAGGTGCTCTGTGAACACACCAGCTGCCAAGACTGTGTTGAGACACAGAGGCAGAGGCGCTGTGCCTGTTCTCCAAATGAGTAGCTGACCAGGACCCATGGCTTAGAAATCCCCAGCTGTGACAGATCACTTTCCTTTCAGCCCTGAAGCAGGCTTTCCACAGACGGAGATGTCAGCTCTGTGGGGACTTCTTAACCTCTCCCTCTTTCCCGTGGAGCCCTCTGCGAAGACTTCAGCCAGCCATCAACTAAGGTTCCCGCCCATTCCACAGACCCAAGACCTTCTGTAGCCCAAGTCCTTCTGTAGGACTTCCAGACATACCTCTGCCAGGTCCATAAACCATAAGGTCATTTGGCCTTTGAGTGCCCCAGCCATCTGCTCGCAATAAAAGCACAAACTCTCTACTGAACAGAAAGTTCATCATACAGCAGAGTCATTGTTCATTTCATCCCCCCAGCCTGGTGCCCCTCCAGCACTCCCCAGCCTCACGCGGTGCCGGACCGCTGACAACAGCAGACGTCACGCCACCCCGAGAAGGGTCTGCAGTCCCTGGACTCCAGTTTCAGCAGAATGTTCCTTCGTGCCCAAAGAGGAGCTAGCAGGTGCAAAGCAGAAGTCCTTAGGACAATCCAGAAGTTACTAGCGTTCCTGCCGTTTACCCAGTATTACTGAATTCCTCTCGTTTCCATCCCGTCCACCCCAATAACTAAGCTCTTGAAAGGAAAAGGACAAAAATTAATTCAAAATGCTTCTTAGACCTAAATGTAAAACACAAAACTATAAAAATCCTAGAAGATAGTACAAAGAAAATCTAGATGACCTTGGTTTAGTGATGACTTTTTAGATACACTGCCAGTGACTTTCTATGAAAGGGAAAATTGCTAAGCTCTGGACTTCATTAAAGTTCCAATTTCTGCCTGCAGAACACACTGTCAAGAGAATGAAAAGACAAGCCATGGATGGGGAGAAAATATGTGTAAGAGACATATCTGATAAAGAGCTGTTATCCGAAATATACAAAGAGCTCTTAAAAGTCAACAATAAAAACGTGGGGAACTCCATTAAGAATAGGTCCAGGACCCTAACAAACACTTCACCAAAGAAGATATAACAAGCCCATGAAATAAGCTTATGAAAAGATACTCCACGTCATATGTCATTAAGGAGGTAACTGTTAAAATGACAATGGACGCCAGTACACACCCCTCGGAATGACCAAAATCCACGACACTGACTACGGCAAATGCCGGTGAGGATGTGGACAACAGGAGGAACTCATTAATTGCGGAGGAGAATGAGAACTGGTGTGGCCACTTTGGAAAACATTTTGGCTGTTCCTTATACAACTCGAAGTATTCTGTGGTTCAAGCCAGCAATCGTGCTTCTTGGTGTTTACCCAAAGGAGGTGAACACTTGTGTTCGCACAAAAACCTGCTCATAGATGTTTTTAGCAACTTTATTCATATTTGCCAAAACTTGGAGGCAACCGTCATGTCCTTCAGCAGGTGCTGGATAAACCGTGCACGCCTGAATAAAGGGGATGTTCTTTGGCACGAAGAAGTAAGCTCTCAAGCCCTAGGAAGACGTGGAGGAAACTTAAATGCACGTTACTAAGTGAAAGAAGCCAGTCTTTAAAAGCTACATACTATGTATGATTCCAAGTATGTGACATTCTAGAAAAAGCAAAACTGGAGAGTGTAAAAAAAAAACGACAGATCAGTGGTCGCCAGGGGAGGTAGGGAGGGATGACTGGGTAGGGCACAGAGGGTTTCAGTGACACAGAAACTCCTTGGCATGATGCTGTCAGTGATGGCTGCATGTCATTGCACACGTGTGTAAGCCATAACATGTGCCACACCAGGAAACTATGTGGGTTGTGACAACCAGTCATCAGTTATGACAGTTGCACCAGCAGGCGGAAATGTTGATCCATCATAGAGACTGCACGGAGCGGGGCAGGGTAGGTGGTATACGAGAAGATACCTTTTGATCTGTGAACCTAAGATTGCTCTAAAAAGATTAAATCCATTTTTAAAATAATTTAAAGGGCCAGGGGAGGAGGTGATTCTTCTAGCCTTGACTGTAACCCTAAGGAGCTGGCGGTCCTGATGCTTGTGGGCCACGTTCTACTCCCCCATCCTGGTCAGCCCAGCCATTGGCAGTGATGTCTTGAACTGCACAGTGGAGGTTGCCCTCCTGCTCCACAGGGATTAGCACAGACGTGCATTGTCCCAGACGGAAGCTGGAGTTGTCTGTCAAGTCACAGCAACCCTCCCTAGGAAGGTCTAGCATTCCCTCGCGTCTGTGCTCGCTGGATCCCTACAGCCTAGACCAACCCTGCACCTGGGGGGTTGGCATCTCGTTTCTTCGGGGCCTCAGCTTCGCCTGCCATTCATACTAGGAGAGCAGAACCTGAGAGTCTAGAACACGCTCTGAGCCAGAAGCTGCATGGTCTTCCCAACCCAATTACAGCGAATAGTGTGACATGAGCAGGAAGGTGTGCATTATGCACAGTAGTGCCGAAAAGATCCAGAACCTTCAGGGAGGTGGCTGGCGGTGTCTTCCTCCAAGCGAGGGACATTCTGCACCAGACTTGGCTAGTGTGAGAGTGGCTGCACCCCTGTGCAGACCCCATGCAGTGAAGAAAGCGCAGCATTCTCTCCATATAGATTCAAGTGTTTGAGATTCTTCTAAGCAGGTGGCTTTCTCCTTTCCAGCTGCTGCCTTCTCCTTCTATAACCAGGAATGATGTTTCAGAATCAGAAAATGAAAA